CCCCCGTACGTTATAATCTCAGAACTCACCTTCCCTTCCGGGCCCATCTTACAGCAGCTGCTGGGGATTTGGCTCTTCCAATCCCCAGGACCGTCCACCCCACAGCAGTGCAACTGGAACACACATTAGGATTAGAAATGGGAAGACATTCTCATTATCACTGTGGACAGGGGGGAGTTTGGCGGACGGTACTCCGTCGCACCCCTCATGCAGTTAGGCCCCATTGTAGTGAGCTCAGCGTGACATTTTGAAAACAAAAAAGCGCGCCGGGTCGCTGGGGGCTGCTATGCTATGCCGACCTTGCGGGCCCACCTCCCCAGGATGACTTTTTGAAGAGGACACCTCGAGCCATAAGGCCGTACAGGTCTAAAAAAAACGCCATTACCGTGTACCAATTTTTCTGACAAAGACTAAAATGTGTTTGCTTACGCTCTCTTGCGTTTCGTCCCAGGCGCGCTTGATGTTGCTCTTGCTGCGGTACTCGACCAGGGTCGACCGCATCTTGTAGTCGGCGTGCTTGCGAACGTTCTCCCGGAACACGTAGCCGAGCACGCCGCCCACCAGCATCGTGACGAACACGATGAACACGATCAGGAAGTACTGCGGACACACACTCTCTCGTCAGTTCCCACGGGCGACGTCGCCAAACGTGTCGCGTCGCACAAGTAGTAGACATAGATTGCGGAATTCGGCACTGACCGTGAGCAGCATGCACTTGACCTCCTTGACGGCACCGACGCAGCCCAGGAAGGCGATGAGGGTGACCAGCCCGCCCGTGGCGATGAGGATGTAGACGGCGCCCAGGAACATGTCGGTGCCCGTGAGCTCCGTGATGAAGGCCTTGTCCAGCAGGGTCCACACCCCGATGCCCAGCACCACGGCGCCGCCCAGCTGCACGTCGTCAGAGTGGGTAAGTTTTGTTTAGTGCGTGTCGTGTGATATGCGAGGCTGATGCTTTTCTCACGAGCTTTCCTTTTGTACTTACGAATATGACGAAGTTGGCCAGGAACATGCTGTACTTGATGCACTGGCCGCAGCCGCCCATCTCCCTGCCGACCCCCATCGCGCTGCTGCAACAAAGAAGGAAGGGCGTGAAGCTCGCACGAGCCCGTATTGCCGGATGTGTGACCGGGGAATGCCCAACACAGCCCACACACACACCTAGGAGGCGACACAAGGGTAAGCAGAAACTTTTCCCGATTTTCAAGAATCTTAAATGCGTTTTGAAAACCAGGAACTTATTTTTCCCCCTCGGCATGTGAGTTGAATTCCGCCCTGTCAGCGTGCTGCCGTCAGCAGCCTGAAGGGGCACAGCTCGCACGCGCGCGCGCTGTGTGTGTGTGTGTGTGTGTGTGTGTGTGTGTGTGTGTGTGTGAGAGTGTGTGTATGCACGCGCGCAATACCCGCTGGCCCCTCCCCACTCACACCTGAGCACTTTCACCTCGTAACAAGAGTGTCCACGCTTTGCCATTCCCATGACCCCGCGCGACGATGTGAGTAGTGTGATGAACGGCGTGCCAATAGAATTCTGTCAGGTGCGGCTGACACAGAACCACCCGTGACTTTCTTTCTTCACTCTACCGCACTGCGGCTGCGAAGAGGGCAGGCAGGCAGGCTTTGCGGGTGCGTGGGATGGGTTTGCCAGTCGCCTGCTCTCTGATCCGAACTCCTCAAACCCAGATATGCATCCCACCCAGCCGCACGCTTGCGCTACAGTACAGTGCAGTTACAGGGTGTGCGCCCGGCTGGCCCGCATACAGGGCGTTCGGGCGCGGCTGGGTTCACCTGTCTGTCGTCACCAACCATATGGTGCTCCCTCGGGTGCGCCTCGTGGGCCCGAGCGCATAGGCGGGCGCCTATGCGCTAAGGCTAGTATACCCGTGTCCTCTGACGGGGCTGGTCGTCCAACCCAGCCCACCATGTACGCCAGGGATCACCCAGAAAGCACGCCCGTCATCCGCCACTACCAAACCTGTCAAGTGCAGCCTCTCAGAGCGCCTGGTAGGTTGGCAACATCTTGCCTGCGGCGCAGGCGTGTATTGCGGGGTGGCCTACCCCGAATCTCGCAGGCGCCGAGCTCTCGTTATTGGCCGAGTGAATCTGAGAAACACGGACACGTACTTTCTCGACGATCCCTGACTGTACGCAAGAGGTCGGGGGTTTTCCACTCATGGAGCTCACTGCACACTCTGGACAAGCAGACAATAAATGTTATTCGAGCTGGCTTTATTGCGTCCGAAGGGAGTGGGGCGCGCCGGGGTGGGGCGGGGCGGGAGGTCGCGGCCCGTTCACTTCCGGTGAGCGCACTACCCGGAGCCCCGCGGCCCGGAGCCGCGGCGGTTTCCCAGAGCAGGCACCCGGAGGCATCCGGAGGGCAGCCGGCCTTCGCCAAGGTCATGTGTCGGCGGCGGCCACGCCTCACTCTCGCTCTCTCGCTCCCTCGCTCCCTCACTCACTCACTCTTTCTCTCTCATTCTCTGAGAGACTTAAAACTGAGCACAAGTGTAGCAGGCCTGGTTCACGACCCGTCGCACCTCGCATACTGTAGTGGGTCGTTCACCTCCACGCAAAAAAAATTAATAGATCACCGCCATTACCGGCTGATTTCCATCCGTCACACTAAGGCAGCGATATATATTATTTGTCGTCAGAGTAGGACACGTTACCGGGTGAATAATTACAGATTCCACGTATACGGTCACTCTTAGAGTGTGAGTGAGAGGCTGAAAGAGCACAGATACAAGGAGATTCCGTATTTCGTTGGGAGAGGACGTGTTCTCCAGGAAGCGCCGGGAGGAACGCAATCAGAGAGGAAGGATTAGCTGCGCTGAGAAGCTGATACGCGCTTCGAGCAGGCGCAGCAGGCGATCCCGGAAGGGAATAGGCTCCACGCATCGTCGATGCACCTCGTCGGTGCTGGAAAACTCACGAGAAGACTGTTTGAAACTGTTTGTGTAAACAAAATTAAACGCAAGAAATACTGAATTCGGTGTCCGTTATTCGCTTGCATTAATTCTATACGATCACACGTGTGCCAGTGTGCGCACGACGTTGCAGTCGAGTTGTGTGAGTGTCGAAGACCCCGTCTCAAGGGCGGTACTACACCATAAGTCCCACGAGAATATCCCCCTTTCACACACCAAGTGCGTGACTGCATACACGCGCGTTTAAAACGTGAAAAGTGTGATGTAACGTGTGAGGAGGGCGAGAGTTGCATGTAAAAAATGATTACTGTATAAACTGCTAAACAAATAGCTTAATGAGAGATATCTAATTTTTTCGCTATGGAGCTAAAACTTTGGACAAGTTTAGATACATAGATAAACTTTAATCCACACGAATAAACTTTCCTCCAGATTGCTAAATTTTTAGCCTCACAGCTAAATTATAAGTTATCCGCTGCTATTTGCTATTATTTAGCTATTTAGCTAATCTTTCATTTTCTAGTGGAGACTTTGACGCACGCCTGTGTGTCGGAGACAGGGGAGGGAGGGAGGGAGGGAGGGAGGGAGACTTAGAGAGCTGCTGGGTCAGTGACCAGGACCAGGACATGACCATGCAGGACGTGCCGATATTGGCAACAGCGGGGCGCCTCCCTCGGAGTGACGCAACGGGGCTGCCTACCCGGCCAGGGGCCGGGCCGTCATCGGGCGCGAGGGCCCGCCGGAGAGTGGCGGGGCGGGGCGAGCCTGGGACCGACAGGTAGGGGCAGAGCAGGGAATGTGGGCCAAGGTCGGAAAGGGAAGACAGCGCGCTCTCCGCGCAGCAGCTCAACGAGCTCAACCTCTCCGCCTCTCTCGCTCGCTCGCTCGCTCTCTCTCTCTCTCTCTCTATATATATATGACCCTGTCTCTCTCTGTCTCTCGCTCTCTCATTCTCTGTCTCTCTCCCTCTCATTCTCTGTCTCCCTCTCTGTGTCTCTCTGTCTCCCTCCCTCTCTCCTGCTGGCCCTTCTCGCAACTCATTCCTCCTTGTCTTCTCCCAGACCCACAGGGACCACTACTACCACTGGCTGTTGGCACTCCGGGTAACATACATGCCGAGAAGTCGTCATTTCTTGTTCTGACCTTTGAAAGTTGCTCATCTCCCGTCTCGCGTTTCAGTGAAACGAAAAACATCATTACAAAAAAGACTGTTTCAAAGGAACCAATCAGAGCTGAAGGAGGATGCACCTGAGGCGCCTTTTACCTGTACCCGGACCTGTTACCGACTGACTCCTATACAAACCTCTCCCCTACACCCTCCCCCCTTTTCTCTCTCTCGCCGGCATAAGTACGTTCTTGTACCAACATGGGCCCATCAATAGGGCCATCCGAGCAGGCCTGTGATGAAGGGGAAAGTGGCGGCCCCCGCCCCGCGCAGCCGTTACAGCTGCGTCTCGCGTCCATTGCGTATCTCCTTACATGTATACCTGTACAGCCGCCTGCTGAGGCCAAGAATTTCATCCCCGCACATGTGTTTTGGACTCTGATTTAGCAGATTGTACATTTAAAACATTTCACACTGCTGAAACTAACTCATGGTATCGGTACAGACCTCTGGTAGAGGGCACATGCAATGCATGCTGCTTGATAGGGCCTGCAAAAATTAAAATTGAGACCGACGTGTTTAATTTGCATAGAGAGTGTAAATTAGAACTGTCCCAAAGTAAGTTTCGGCAGTGTGGAATGTTTTAAATTATACATTTGCATCCGGAACCAAGTTAAAATTTGGGACAGTTCTAATTTACACTCTATTCTGAACACTTCCGGATATCTATGCAAATTAAACAGTCTCAATTTTTATTTTTCCAGGCCCTACCAAATATTTCTAAAGAGAATCACCTACATTCTTAATTTTGAATCACCTCCATTCTTAATTTTGAATCGTCTGCTTTCAAGATAGATAATTCTTGAGTGATGTGTTTTTTTAACGGTGCACTCGCGGGGACAGAAGCCACACCGACAGCTTGGCGCCTGAAAAGATGTTCTCTAGCAGATGGTCCCAACACGCCCCAGGAGAAAACTGTCCACACGAGTTCCACCAGGCTGCACCAAGTGACACGCCACGCCTCGCCACGCCACGTCTCGCCACGCGCCACGCACGACATATCGTCATCTTCTTCTCGGGAAAACGCACCCATAAAAACCCACAAACAAAGCGTCGTCATAAGTAAATGTTCTCGCAGGCTTCAAAGCTCATTTTCCGCGCCGAGAACACATTTTTGGACCTGTGCGGCTGCGTTATTTTGGGGTGGGAACTCTTTTTGTCGCTCTAACGGAAAGAGTTCGCGCGCAGTGCCCAGGAGCTCTCTGCGAGGTGTACTCCGGGTGCCGGGCGCCGTGCTGTTATTGACTTCCGAACAAGTCACGAACAACGCCACAAGTGCGTGCGCGTGAGAGGGTGTGTCGGGGTGTGCGTGAGCGCAGTAT